AAAAAAAAAAAAAAAAAAATCTCTTCTGCAGTATAAGTAATGTGCTTTTAAAGTTTACTTTATTATAAACAAATTAACATACATTCTCCTTGTCTAAAGAGCTCTTCTTCCTCTGGGCTTTCAGGGATGAGTAGATTTATAAACGCCGGCCTAAAGAGAAGAAAAGAATACAGTTTGAGATATGCTATTATATAACAAAACTTGAAGATGAATAATTACTAGTTTTAAAGTTTTCTGCTGTTCATGTTCAGTAATGCTTACTGCCTGCCTCACACGTGGACACCAGAACAATTAAGGGAGCCTTTTGGTTACATATTTACCTGTACACTAGAAAGTTCACATTATAAAAAGGATGCTGCTGCTTGCCAAAAATGTTTAACCTAATTTTAATTATGAAGAAACAGTCAAATACAAGTTACAAAACATTCTATAAGCAACTGGCTTGGACTCCTACAAAATGCCAATATCTTAAAAGACAGTACATGGCAGGGGGACTATTCTAAAGAAACACGATAACCAAATGTAACATACAAACAATCCTTGATCAGATCCTGAATCAGGGGAAAGCTATAAAGGATATTTTAGGGACAAGTGGTAAAATTTTAATGTGATCATATATTAGATACCATAATTGTAACACTATTAAATTTCTTGGACATAATAAAGGCACTGAGGTTATGTAGGAGAATTACCGTGTTCTTAGGAGATAAATGCTAAACTAGATGAAGCAGTATCAAACTTACTTTCAAATGATTCAGGGGAAAAAGACATGCAAATGTGTATATTTGTAGCGAGAAGGTGAGAGAATAAAGCAAATGTGATACAATGTTAATTGGTGAATTTAGATGAAGGGCATATGTTCGTTGCATTCTTTCTACTTTTCTGTAAGTGTCAAATCTTTCAAAACAAAAACTAAGGGAAATTGGATAATATTTCACTGTGGTAGAATCCAAAGTTTTGATGAAACAACAATGGAAACAAAAGAACTCAAACAGCAGCTTGGAAAAGTGAAATGCACCAGCTGGGAGTGAAGCTTGAGGCAGTGGCCCTAGTGTTTGAAAAGGAGCCCCAGGCCAGCCAGTGGCCACAGCAGGTGAGCCAGAGCTGGTGGGAGGGGCTAAAGTAGATGGGTGTTAACCTTCACTTGGATCATAAGAGTCACCAAGGTATTTTTTTTCTTTTTTTTAATTATAAAGATGTGGGGTACAATTCAGGGTTAGGTATACAAACGTTGATTATGCAGGTACCCTTGTTGATGCGGTGTGCCCCTTCCTCCCCTAGCAGTTTCCCTCAACTCACCAAGGTATTTTTCTATCTTAACTTGGTTGTTCAAGTCAGCTTTCCATGCAGCAGAAATGGTTTTTCATTGTAGATTCCTAAATCAAGCTTATAATACAAATGAGATTTCAAATAGGCCACTAGATTCTGTCCTGTGCAAAGAGTAATCCTGTAGCATTCCTTCCCACACCGACAATTAGACAGTTTCTTTCAGTTTAGATGTCTTGGGTATAACTGTTGTTAGGAACCAAGAATTCAATTTAAGAGAAAAAAGAAAGTATAAAGTCAAATAAATTAAAGTATATATGGCTAAATTTGACTTGGAAATGACAACACCATAAAAACTCATGAGGTTTTTTTGTTTAACATGCACCCTAGCTCTATCCACTGAAAAGGCCTAAATACTAACAATGTACAGTTCCAGTGCCCAGATTTTGGTGTCTAAATACCAGTTCCCACTAAAAGGAACTCCAGGATTCTTTGGAGAAATGGCTGATTCCAGGCCTGAGGCAGGAAATGTGTAAGATGAGTCCAAGACATTTTTTTGCACCAGAGAGCAGGATGGTATCAAAGACTAATGGAGATAGGTAGGACACAGGAACCACCTTAGAGGATCCCCTAATGACCAAAGATGCAATCCCTGAGCATTAAGAAGAGCAATGACTGCAATTTATTGAAATGCATGTAATATATTAAAACCATGAATTCACAATGATACTTTTCTAAAAAGTCAAAAAAGTGGGAAAATCACATGATGGCTAGCTAGTGAACCAATTCCTTATTCTGAAAATGTGTACATAAAAGGTGAGAATGAAGCATTGATCCTGACTTTCCTTTACGAACCAAATTGTCCTAGTTGATAAGGGAAAGCTCCTCTTTGTAGAACTCAAACTAATAAATGTAGAAGGAGGGGCAGAATTTGAGAATTATTTTACACCACTTAATGAAAATTATTAAAGCAATAATCAGCAGTAGATGTTAAAAACACTGGAAAAGCCGGGCTCGGTGGCTCAGCCTGTAATCCCACGCCTTTGGGAGGCTGAGGTGAGTGGATTGCCTGAGCCCGCAGGTTCGAGACCCGCCTGGGCAGCGAGACCTCATCTCTACAATAAATCAAAAAATTAGCTGGGTGTGGTAGCACGCGCCTGTAATTCCGGCTACTTGGAAGGCTGAGGCGGAAGGATCGCCAGAGCCCAGCAGGTCGAGGTTGCGGTGGCCGGGAGCGGCCACTGCACTCCAGTCTGGGCGACAGAGTGAGACTCCAACTCAAAAAAAAAAAAAAAACACTGGAAAAAGACTGATAGGAAACTAGCTATTTGTAGGATGACAAAGTACACCCTGTAGAGTGTTGCTGATCAGAAGAGGAAAAACTGAACTTCACAATGGAGAGATGAGACTGTCAACACCTGAACCCACATATCAATCTTAGCATCACTGTGAATGGTACAACCTGTACCTATTGATATGATGTAATACAAGATACATAGCATCTCCTATGTATCTTGTATATGCTTTCAAATATGCTTAACTTGAATCTAACACAAAGCTCTACATCTAATTTCAGTGTACAAAAAAATGCAAAGACAAACAAGCCAAAAAAAATCAACCTCACTAATCATCAAGGAGATGCAAATTAAAACTACACTGAGATACCACCTAACTCCAGTCAGAATGACCATCATCAATAACTCAAAAAATAACAGATGCTGGAGAGGATGTGGTGCAAAGGGAATGCTGCGACACTGTTGGTGGGAGTGTAAACTAGTGCAACCTCTGTGGAAAGCAGTGTGGTGATTCCTAAAAGCTCTAAATATCAACCTCCCATATGACTCCACAATCCCCCTACTGGGAATATACCCTGAAGAACTCAAATCATTCTATAAAAAAGATACCTGCACATGTATGTTTATCGCAGCATTGTTCACAACAGCAAGAACCTGGAACCAACCATGCTGTCCATCAAAAGAGAACTGGACTAAAGCAATGTGGTACATATACACGATGGAATACTATGCAGCCATAAAAAAGAACAAAATCATGAATTCACAGCAACCTGGGTGGAACTAGAGTCTATAATACTGAGTGATCTCTCACAGAAACAAAGATCTGAGTATCACATGTTCTCACTCATATAGTGGACCTTGAACATCTATCATAATACTTTAAGAAAAGGATTAAAAAAAAAAAGAAAAAAAAAAGGATTGACAGTGGCGGTAAACTATGGGGGGATAGGGAGGGGAAGGGAGGTGGGATTAACGGTAGTCAATATCTGTCTGGGGACGGGAAGACACCCCTTATCAACAAGGGTGCCTGAGCAATACATATTTGTATATCTAACCCTTAACTGTACCCCACAATTTTAAAATAAAAAATATGTGTATTAAAAAAAAGCAAACAAAAAACACAAACAAACAAAACCCTTGAGGAAGCAATAAGACAAATCCAGAAAGTGGGATGCTGTATAGAACAATTGATGCAGACCTTCAACAAGTTAACAATATAAAACAATAAGGGATCAGTAAGGCTACATGACTATTCTGGATTAAAACAGATTTAAGAAATTGCACAACTCTGTGAATACACCAAAAGTCATTAAACTGTATACTTTTTTTTTTAGTTGTTTTCTCACTCTGTCGTCCAAACTGGAGTGTAGTAGCACACTCATGGCCACCCCAGCATCAACCTGCTGGGCTCTGGCAATCCTTCTGCCTCAGCCTTCCAAGTAGCTGGAACTACAGGAGCACACTATCACACTTGGCTAATTTTTGATTTATTGTATGGACAAGTTCTCGCCAAGTTGCCTGGACTGGTCTCAAACCCACGACTCGGGCAATCCACTCACCTTGGCCTCCCAAAGTGCTGGGATTACAGGCTGAGCCACTGAGCCCAGCCAAACTGTATATTTTCAATGGATGAATTGTGTGATATGTGAATTATATCTTAATAAAGTCATTAACAACAACAAAAAAACAGACTTACAGATATTAATTGTAATATGTGGGTGTCATTTGGATCCTGTTTTGAACAAGTCATTCAAAAGACATTTGGAGAAAACTGGATTTGAGCTGAATATTAGAATATGCTAAGGACTATTATTTTTGTTAGGCATGATAATGGTAATGTCATTATTTAAGAGAATATCCTAGGCTGGGCATGGTGGCTCAGTCTGTAATCTCAACACTTTGGGAGGCTGAGATGAGAGGATTGTCTGAGTCCGGGGGTTCAAGACCAGCCTGGGCAACTTGGTGAGATCTCATCTCTACAATAAATCACAAAAACTAGCCGGTGTGGTGGCGTGCATCTGTAGCTCCAGCTACCTGAAAGGCTGAGGCAGAAGGATCGCCTAAGCCCAGCAGGTCGAGGCTGTGATGGTCATGAGCATGCCACTGCACTCCAGCCTGGGAGACAAGAGTCAGGCTCCAACTCAAAAAAAAAAAAAAAAAAAAAAAAAAAAAAAATATATATATATATATATATATATAAAAAATAAAATTTCTTTAAACAAAAATGGCAAAAAAATGTTACAACTAAAACTGGCAAGTCCAGATGATGGGATATGGACACTCATTATAATCTTCTCTCCAGTTTTATTTATCTTTGGAATTCTTCAAAATAAAGAATTATTTTTTAAAAATTACCCTTTGTTTTCAGCATCACGAGCCACCATTACAAACGTTGCCTCCAAAACAGGACAGAATTCATCACCATGCAACTAAAGAACAAAGGAAAGAAAATGGAGATATAAGAAATGCATGTACTGGGAAGATCTACCACAATTCTAATAGACAGCATGAATGCTTTGAGAAAGTCCTACAGTGAAATAAGAGAAGAAGTACACTAATTAACCACCATTTGCTGAGGGTCTACCCTGACCAGCACAGCAATAGGCTCTGGGAATGGCAGGATGACAAAGGAGCCTGTGATATAGCACAGAAGACGCCTCAAAATCCAAACAGGTGAGAAATGCTGGGATGGACTTCAGAGCTAAGAGTGACTGGGTTCGAAGGGCAAAGGTCACAGAGGGCATCATCATTTAATCTTCTTGAATTCTGCAGAATCTAGGCTTCCTTCAAAGGGGTACCTGTCCTCCTGATAGCACACTACTAAAGTGGCCCTCCCACCATGCTCATAGACACTAGTATTTTCAGGAAACTGTAGTGTGGCAACTACCAGCATATATTTTTGCCTCCTTAGCCAAGCACAGGAGCTCCCAAGAAGGGGTAAGATCAGAGATGAGGCCGGGCTCAGTGGCTCAGCCTGTAATCCCACGCCTTTGGGAGGCTGAGGTGAGTGGATTGCCTGAGCCTGCGGGTTCGAGACCCGCCTGGGCAGCGAGACCTCATCTCTACAATAAATCAAAAAATCAGCCGGGTGTGGTAGCACGCGCCTGTAATTCCGGCTACATGGAAGGCTGAGGCAGAAGGATCACCGGAGCCCAGCAGGTCAAGGCTGCGGTGGCCGGGAGTGGCCACTGCACTCCAGTCTGAGCGACAGAGTGAGACTCCAACTCAAAAAAAAAAAAAGATCAGAGATGATTCTGTGGATTAAGTTAAATACAGGTTGAGTATCCCTAATCTGAAAATCCAAAATACTCCAAAATCCAAAATTTCGGGTTTTTTCAAGTACAAAAAGACTTGAATGTAAAAAGTCCAAGAATTTTTGGGAACTGACATGACACTTCATTGAGTATTTCAGATTTTGAATTTTTGGATAAAGAATGTTCAACCTGGCCAGGCTCGGAGGCTCAGCCTATAATCTCAAAGGGAGGCCGAGGCAAGTGGATTGCCTGAGTTCACGGGTTCGAGACCAGCCTGGGCAACTTGGCGAGACCTCATCTCTGCAATAAATCCAAAATTAGATGTGGTTGCGTGTGCCTGTAGTTCTGGCTACTTGGAATGCTGAGGAGGAAGGATCGTCAGAGCCCAGCAGGTCAAGGCTGCAGTGAGCGTGCGACTGCATTCTAGCCTGGGCGAAAGAGTGAGATGCCAACTCAAAAAAACAAGCAAACAAAAAACAAAGAATGCTCAACAAGTAAATATAATGCAAATATTCTAAAATCAGAAACAATTCCAGTCCCAGACAATTCAGATAAGGACTATGCATCCTGTATTTACATTGTGTAGGCCTCTTCAAGGTGCTTCTTTATACCCTAGCAGTCCATACTTCCAGGAAAGTCATACCATAAAGTCATGACAGAAGCTATTTATAACCCCTTCAAAAAATGATATAAGCCTTTCACTACTGCCTTCTCAGGCCCTTACCTCAGTCTTCCTCAACTGTGGAAATAGTCTCAATCTCACTATGCCTCTGCCCTATTCAAACATTTCAATAGTTCCTCCTTCCAACACCTGGGCTAATTCTGTTAGCACAGCATAAAACGCCCTCTACAAAACAAGCCCAGGATTCCTCTCCAGTTGTTCACCAAACACTGCCCTCATACCTTTCTCTCTACGTTTTTTTCTCTAGCCTCAGCTAAAAATGAGAGATCCTGGGATGTAGCAGACTGTTGATCACCTCCTATCTATGACTTTGCCTGATGCCTTCCTCAGCAATCTCATTCTTCAAGACACTCCTCTCTTCCCCATCCCAAGTTCATCATTCCCTCTTTCAATCACCTACCTTAATGAAAACAAAGTCCTCCCTTGATAGTGGTTTTCAATTAAGAACCAGAAGTAGATACCATCCTCATATGGGGCATTTGGTAATGTGTAGTCATTTGGGTTGTCACATAACTTATGGGCATTATTGGCAGGAGGAGTAACCAAAGAGTTTTCTCACACAAAATGTCAACAGTGTCCCTGTTGAGAAATACTGCATAATACACTAGATAATAATAATGTATTTATGTGGCTGTTTCCCTAATGCACTGTGAGCTCCCTGAGGACCAAAACCATTTTCTTCACACTTGTATCCCTAGCACTTATCACAAAGACTGGCAGATAGTAGATACCCAATCAATGTTTGTCAATGAATGAATGACACAGGTAGTTCTTGAGTATGAGTAGAAAATAAATGCCAAGAAGATGGAACTTTGTCTGTTTTGCTCATTGCTGTATGCTTAGCACAGAATAACTGCTCAACAAATAACCGCTAAATAAATGTTAAATGAATCAATGTCAGCAAGTGGACTTGATGTCTCAAATCCAGGTCCTGTTGTTGAGGAGCATACAGCTAGTAGAAAAGACATGTTTGTACATAGCTCTGTAGGATAGAGTGGTAGATGCCAGGAAAGAGGGTCAGGGAGAGGGTACTGATGAAGGAGATGTGGGGAAGGAACAGGTGTTATGAGATGGGAGGATTGGGAAAGAGTTCAAGCACCGTGTAACTCTGAAGCACAGGGAGAAAGTGAATATGCAGAGCCAAAGAACAAAAGTTTCAGGCAAAGGAAAAAGCATAAGCAATGACATTCATTTGCTCACTCACTGCAGACTGAGTATCCCTTGTCCAAAATGCTTGGGACCCAGAGTCTTTTGGATTTCAAAACTTTTTAGATTTTGGAATACCTGCACTGAATGACTTACTGGTTGAGCACCCCAAATCCACAAATAAAAATTCCAAAAATGCACCAATGAACATTCCTTTGAGTGTCATGTCAGTGCTTAAAAAGTCTGATTTTGGAGAATTTCAGATTTTGGGTTTTCAATGCTCAATATGTATTTAAATTCGTTTATCACAACAAACACCCACTAATGCCAAGAATTGGGGATACAAAGATGAATAATTCCCTATTCTTAGGATGCTCAGTGTCCAGTGGTGAAGAAATATAGTTGGAAAGGTAGGTTGGAGCTAGTTTGTGGAACACCTTGGACCCTAATCAGTCAAAGGAGCTCAGCTTTAATCCACAGAACCGTCACTGAAGGTTTCTGAAAAGGGGAGTAATCTGATTCAAGATCAGCTCTATGAGATTTATCTAGTCAAAATGTGTAAAGTTAACAGAGAGAGGACAGATTAGAGGGAGGCAAATTAAAAGACAGTCATGGCTCTCACACAGAGGCAGTGAGGATTTGAATAAAACATAGGGCCAAGGGGATGGGGAGAAAGGATTCTGGTAAGTTGCTGAGGGTGATGAATTTGCAAGACTTGGCAAAGGGCTGCATGGGAAAGGGAAAAATTAAAGCCATCACAAAGGTTTGATGCTGGGAGAAACAGGAGACTGGCAAAGGGGAGATTGGAGGAGGATAAGGATTGTACACATTCACTCTGGAATACACTGAACTTGAGTTAGCAACAGTACATCTAGATGGAGAAATGTAATGGGCACTCAGAAAGGTGAGTTTGAAGATCAAGCCTAGAATGGAGATCTGGGACCATCTCAATAGCATTAATAATATATTAACATTACTGCCAACAGTGGCTATTGTGTGACAGGCACTATACCAAGTACTTGACATGAATAGTTTTATTCATTTCCTCTTACCACAACCATATGGCATCGTACAGTTACCATTTTCATGTTACACTTGAGAAAACAGAGGCTCAGAAGGTAAACCCACAGTCACATGGCTAAGAAGCTGCACTGAGATTAGAACCTAGGTCTACCCAAACCAGAGGCAGAGTACTTATCCCCATGCCACCTCTCTGGAATAGAAAGGATCACTCAAGTTATGAGTTATTAGTCAAATGGCCAGTGAAAAATGCAAATTTAAAACAAAAGTGTTTGCTTATCTGACATGGATTTTCATTGATTGTTCCTCTCGATAATTCCTGTATCTCTTTTCAAGCTATATGTCCAAGATTCAAATTGTCAAGATTCCCTAGAAGACAGGTCCTATGCCAGGAATCTGCTGTGCATGGCACTGAGCAGGCTAGGAATTAACCACAAATATATATTTTTATTTATTTATTTATTTATTTATTTTTAATTTATTTTTTATTATAAAGATGTGGGGTACAATTCAGGGTTAGGTATACAAATACTGATTATGCAGGTATCCCAAATATATTTTTTTAAAAGAGTATGGGCAAATCATAGCAGCACCCCAGCAACTCCATTATGTTTTCTTTTAAAAACAGTATTACTGTCAGTTACGTCAGTACAGGAGTTGAAGGAGTCAACTGCTTGCATATAGTATTGAACTGTTAAAATTTTATCTATTTTGACAAGTAATTTTAATTATTGTGAAGCAAGCTTTGGATTTTTTTTTCTGAGAGCATGAAAGTTTCTTTGCCAAAAGGTGAAATACTTAGTAATTCCAAAACAGAAAAAAAAAAAAAAAATACACCTGAATAACAGGCCTACTGAATACCTTGGCATAACTGAATAAATCATTCTTTTTTTATTTGTTTGTTTTTTGAGCTGGCGTCTCACTCTGTCGCCGAGGTTGGAGAGCAGTGGCATGCTCACGGCCACCCCAGCGTTGACCTGCTGGGCTCAGGCAAGCCTTCCGTCTCAGCCTCCCAAAGTGCTGGGATTACAGGCTTGAGCCACCACACCCGGCCTGAAGAAGTCATTCTAAAATAAGTTTCCCACAATGACATCTTAGACATACGTTGTTGAGTCTTTTAATTTTTTGTTTTTTTGAGTCAGGGTCTCACTCTTATTACCCAGGCTGGAGTGCAGTAGCACACTAACAGCCACCACAGCCTCAACCTGCAGGACTCAGGAGATCATTCCGACTCAGCCTTCCAAGTAACTAGAACCACAGGCATGTGTCACCACCCTTGGTTAATTTTTTTTTTATTTATTGTAGAGATGAGGCTTTGCTAAATTGTCCAGGCTTGTCTCGAACCCCTGGGTTCAGGCAATCCCCTCATCTCTGCCTCCCAAAGTAGTGGGATGACAGGCATGAAAACCACACCCAGCCCATACTTTGAATTATTTGATTTCTGTGCTGTTATTTTCTTTGAGGTACTTTTTCTTGTTAAATTTCTTCATTTGTTTATAATAACTATTCTGAGTTTTGCTCATGAGAGAGACTGTTCCTAATTGCTGAAATAATATAAATGACTGTTAAAGGTTGAACTTTGTCCCTCCCAAAATTTTTGGAAGTCCTAACCCCTATACCTGTGAACATGACTTTATTTGGAAATAGGGTCATTGTAGACATAATTAGTTAAGATGAGGTCACAGTGGAGTAGGGTAGGCCCTTAATGATTAGCATCTTAGTAAGAAGAGACACAGAGAGACAGACACAGACACATGAGAGAACACTGTGTTATGATGGAGGCAGAGACTGAATGAAGTGTTGCAGCTGCAAGTAAAGGAACACCAAGGGTTGCTGGCAAACCACCAGAAGCAAGGAAGGGTTCTCTCCTACCTTGCTTTTGGACTTCTAGCCTCCACACTGCGAGAAAATCTGTGTTGTTTTCAAGCCACTAGTTTGTGGTACTTTGTGGTACAGCTGTCCCTCAATATCCATAGGGAACGGGTTCCAGGAACCTCTAGCCCCATAAGATACCAACGATGCTCAAGTTCCTTATATGAAATGGCATAGTATTTGCATACAACCAACGCACATCCTCCTGTATACTTCAAATCATCTCTAGATTACTTATAATACCCAATAAAAATGGGGGAGAATGAGCTGTACACTTAAAAATGATAAAGATGGTAAGTTTTATAGATACATTTTACCTCAACAAAAATTAAATTTAAAAATACAAAGAATACAATACAAAGAATATGTAAATAGTTATGCTGTATTTTTATTGTGTTTTTTTTTCCCTAAATGTTTGCAGTCTGATGTTGGTCCAATCTGCAGATGCAGAGCCCATGGATGCAGAGGTCCAACTGTACAGCAGTACTAGGAAAGTAATATGGTGATCAATCCCATTCACACCTACCATAACTCAGACTTCTGTAAAATTCTCCTGGGTAAAACCAGAAAAAAGCACCTTAACATGGAGGTAGATATGAGAAAGTAATAGCGTTTAAATGTAAACACTGAATAATATGTCAGTATTTGTCTAGGAAAAGCTAATAACCTATCATCTGTGTGACATGTACTTTCTTTTCTTTTCTTTTTTTTTTTTTTAGTTGGAATATCACTCTGTCACCCAGGCTGGAGTACAATGGCATGCTCATGGCTCATCACAGCCTTGACCCCCTAGGCTCAGGAGATCCTTCTACCTCAACCTCCCTAGTAGCTGGGACTACAGGCACAAGCCACTATACCTGACTATTTAAAAAGATTTTTTTGAGGCAAGGTTTCACTATATTGCCTAGGTTAGGCTCAAGCAATCCTTCCACCTCAGTCCCACAAAGTGCAGGGATTACAGGCATGAGCGACTGCACCTGGCCAACATGACCTTCTTTTTTTTTTTTATAGAAGCAGTGAGCAATATACCTGTCTATGGATAGCTTTTCTTGCACTAAGACTAGCTAGTTACATTTGAACAGTGGACAATCTTCAGGCACATATATACCTGGAACATTTGCATCTTCACTTCCATAGATGTCTTCCCAACCCAGCTAACGTGGCCACTGAACTTAATGTCCTGTTCTGGGCTCAAGCTCTTCTTACACATATCTGTAAAACAGAAAACCAATCTAGGTCCAAATCATACCAAATTTTTTCTTCTATAAATGGATAATTTCATTTAAAATTATGGCAAATTCTACTGCACTTCTTTCTTGTCTCCAAAACTAAAATAACATTTTTTGTCATACAAAAGAAATCTGTCTTTTGAAAAATATAGACAATGCAAAGAACATTAAAAAACTGAAATCATGCAAAACTCCTCCACCTGATCACAATAAAGACCTTGGTATATAGCATTCTAGACATTTTCTTATGCATATATATTAATATTTCCCACAAAAGGAGAATACTTCCAGAAATCTTAATAATAGCTTATAGCCTGCACAGCAGAGGGAGACCCCGAACTCAAAATAAAGAAATGAATAACAACAACAAAAAAATAGCTTGTAATTACTAAGAATTCTTAAGAATTCATAGAAAATGATATCGCTTACCAATCTTGTCCACCAGGGCTGTAACTATTGATAAAGGAGACATCTTAGCTGAATGAATTTTGGTGTGCATGTAGCAAATGAGAACTGTAGGAAAACAGGAGAGTACCAAAAAAGCAAAAAGCAGAATTATTTCTCAACACATACAATTTACTCCATGAAATTCATAAAAAGTTTTACCTTGTTTTGAAAACCCAACTCCCAATACTCCACTAATGATCTTATCCTAGTACCAAGCACTTTTATAAAGTGAAGAAATTTGAAGATCCTCTAATCTAACTGCCCCCTCAATTTTGGATTTGGTAAGGAAACTAAAGCTCAAAGCCTAGGCCTGCAAAGTGGCTTGTTACCACTTCAGAGACACAGTGCCTAACTCAGAATAAGAACCCAACACATGAGTCTGAACATCTTCAGAAGAGGAAAACCAGCAAGAGACTCCATCTGCACAAAAAATATATTTTTTAAATTAGCTAGGTGCAGTGGCCTGTAGTCCTAGCTACTCGGGAAAACCGCTTAAGCCCAGGAGTTTGAAGCAGCAGTGAGTCATGATGGTGCCACTACACTCCAGCCTGGATGACAGAGCAAGACCCTGCCAGGAAAGGAAGAGAGGGGAGGGGAGGCCGAGGGAGGGGAGGAAGAGAGAGAGAAGGAAGAAAGGGAGGGAGGGAGGGAGGGAAAATAGAAACAAACCACCAGGATTCAGCTACCTGTTTTCCTCCTGGCTCTTTCCGAATCAGGAAGCAATTATTTCACTGTTATCCCTCCTTTCCCATAATGCCCTTGGCTCCTACACTACCCTATCGTTATCTGTATACGTTCTATATGTTAACAAGTATTTATATGTGCCAAGCATAGTTTTACACATCCTACAAATATCAGCTCATTTAAAGTTGTATAATAATTATATGTTTATTGGCCCCCCTGCTTCCCCCACAATCCATTCAAATTTGTATTGCCAACCCTCAGGGACAAGCCATATAGCTCAATAAATATCTTTTGAGTGACAGTAAGTTCTTCTATTCATGCACCTGCTAAAGGATGTACAGGGGGAATGACAGACTAAAGGCAACAAACTCCATTTAAAAGGCTCTGTGGTGCCCAGGAAAGAAATCAGATAGATCTGACCTATGGCAACAGCAGTGGAAATGAAGAGAAAATATTCAAGAGCTAGGAAGAAAGTAGACTTGACTTAAATGAATCCAGTTTTCTAGCCTGGATGAGTAAGTATGGTGTACTAGTCACTGAAAAAAAAAATACAAGAAGAACAGATGGGCTGTTTTCAACATGCTGAATTTGAGAAGCCTATGACAAATGCAAATGAAGATACCCAGTAGGTAGGAGGACAAACTAATTGGAACTCAGAAAAGCAGGCCAGGAAATGCAGCTTCACAAGGATTCGGCATACTGACAGCAACTGAAGCACTAGGAGTAGATGAGATTATTTATAGAGAATATGCAGTGTTAACCCAAGAAAGGGCAGAAGGAAAGGATGGGGAGGAGAAAGTGGTGGTGGTGGGGAGAATGAGCTGTACACTTAAAAATGATAAAGATGGTAAGTTTTATATGTATATTTTACCTCAACAAAAATTAAATTTAAAAAAGATTTAAAGATTTTCATCTTTAAATTTTAAAGTACTTTAAAATTTAATAAAAGCAAATTATATAAATAAATATAAGTGTGTGTGTGTGTGTGTGTGTGTGTGTGTGTGTGTGTGTGTGTGTATAGTTTTGTTTTGTTTTGTTTTTCTGTCCTCACTACAGCCTGACCTCCTGGGCTCAAGTGATACTTCTGCCTCAGCCTCCCAAGTAGCTGGGACTATAAGTGTACACCACCACACCTGGCTAATTTTTGTATTTTTTTATAGAGACAAGGTCTGTGTTGCCCAGGTTGGTCTTGAACTCTGAGGCTCAAGCAATTCTCCTGCCTCAGTCTCCCAAAGTGCTAGGATTACAGGTATGAGCCACTGTACCCAGTCTACAAATAAATTCCTTTTTTAAGGGCAGAAGACAAAACCTTGGGGATAACTGACATTTAAGGAATCAACAGAGAAAGAGGAACCTATAAAGAAGACTGGGAAGGAACAACCAGAGGCACAGGAGGAAATGTCACCAAAACCCAAGGATGAGTTAGACAATATTATAAGCGATAAAGGGCTCAGGTAAATCCTGAAAAGTATCCATCAGATTGTACAATAAGGGAGTCAATGGTGAGCCTGGCAAGAGCAGTTTCAATGGCATGGAGGAGGAGGAGAAGCCAGAACACAGCAGACTGACAAATAACAAATAAGAGTCGGCATACAGAAGCAAAGAAAGCAAATGAGCCAGGTGTGGTGGCTCACACCTGTAATCCTAGCACTTTGGGAGGCAGAGGCAAGAGGATTACCTTAGCTCAGGGGTTCAAGACCAGCCTGTGCAACATGGCAAGACCTCCTCTCTACAATAAATCAAAAATCAGCCAGGCATGGTGGCACATGCCTGTGGTTCCAGGTACTTGGGAGGCTAAGGTTGAAGGATCACCTGAGCCCAGCAGGTCAAGGCTGCAGTGACTGTGAGCATGCCACTGCACTCCAACCATCTTGGGCAACAGAGTGAGACTCTGACTCAAAAAATAAAAATTAAAAAAGAAAGTAAATGATTTTTCCAATTCTTTTCAGAAAGTTAGCTATGAAGTGAGGGAGAAAGGCAATTTGAGAGTATTATAACGAGAGTTTTACCTATTTTTCATTTTAAAATGGAGGAACTTTGAATATAACTTGAAGGAAAAGTGAAGTTGAAAAAAGGCTTGGGATATGAAGAAGAAAGTATAAGTGATACAGCAGTACCTTGAAGAAATGGAAGGACTAGAACCAAGTGAATAGGTGAAAGGGACCGGCTATCCACAGAGGTGCCGGACGTGGTGGCTCATGCCTATGATCCCTGCACTTTGAGAGGCTGAAGCAGGAGAACTGCTTGAGCCCAGAAGTTCGAGGCTACAGTGAGCTATGACTGTGTCACTAACACTCCAGCCTAGGTGATAGAGTGCGACCCTATCTTTAAAATAAATAAACAGGAGGCAATGAGGAAAAAAGACGGTAGCGGCAGGGGAGCTTGTATATATAAGGATACCTAAGTAAACTGAAGTCAAATATATAAATATAGGCCAGTCACAGTGGACTCGTCCTCACCCTGCTTGGGCTCCAACACCCTACTTTAGGGTACCTCACGCCTGTAACCCCAGCACTTTGGGAGGCCAAGGCAGGAGGATCATTTGAGGCCAGCTCAAGACCAGTCTGAGCAATATAGCGAGAATTCGTCTCTACAAAAAAAATCAGCCAGATGTAGTGCTGCATGCCTGTAGTCCCAGCTACTTGGGAGGCTGAGATGGGAGGACTGCTTGAGTCCAAAAGTTCGAGGTTACAGTGAGATAAGAATGTACCACTGCATTCCAGCCTAGGTGACAAAGTGAGACCCTGTCTCTAAAAAAAAGAAAACAAAAATAAAGGTGTGTGTGTGTGTGTGTGTGTTTGTGTGTATAATTTTTTTAAAGGCCAATAAGAATTTTTAACTGGATTTATTTAATCTGGAGGAAAAACATAGTTAGGTGTAAGCCTAACAATAAGTTTATTCTATATTTTTTAAGTTATTAAAGACCTTCTTCAGACCCTTTCCCAAAAGTTCAGCCCAAAGTCATTAGGCAGAAGCGTGCAAGTTACCCTAAAGTAGGGTGTTGGAGCCCAAGCAGGGTGAGGACGATGTCCACACAGAGGGGTAGGAAAAGTGGTGACTCAGCATGTCACATTGTGCCTGAACACAATGAGGAGGGTGATCCTGCAGTGGGGAATTGGGTAGAAGGTACCAGAGACCAAATGTAGTGAGTGGAGCATCCATGAAAGGTTAGGGGAGGCAGCCAGAGGAAACTAGTTACATACAGGACTACTGATCAAATAGGTAAATATATTAAGGATAATGGAGCCAGCTGGAAAAGGGAATTACAGATATAAAAAGAGAAGAAATGGGAATGAACCCTATGGTGCTGAACTGGAATTGGAGCTATCAGTATGAACCCATGGCTTTCACATATACAAGGTGCTTATTAATTACAAAGGGGAAAAGAGAAATGTCACAGTGAAGAAGACTAGCAGACAACACCTTCATGAAGTAATCAAAGTTGAAAGTTGATATCATCAGTAAAGGCCACATAAAACTGTGCACCACCTGATAGGCTGCAATAAAACAGAGCATCCCTTCTGTGACATCCCCGCTATAAATGCAATCCCAAAGCTAATCATGAGGAAGTATCAGACCAACTCAAATTGAGAGACAACCCACAAAATAACTGGCCTATAGCCTTTGAAATTATCAAGGTCACGAAAGCCAAAACAAGATCAAAAAACTATTTCTGACAACTAAATGCAACACATGATTCAGACTGGATCCTTCTGCTATAAAGGGCTGTTAGCAAAAGCTGAATGGGGTCTGAGGATTAGACTGTATACTGTATCGTTGTTAATTTCCTGATTTTGACAGTTATACTATGGTTTTGTAGAGGAATGTTCTTGTTTGTTGGAAATACGTGTTAGAATATTTGGGGGTGATGGGGAATAGTGTCAGCAACTTACTCTCACATGATCAAGGAAAGAATTCTTTATATTGTATTTGCAAGTTATTAGAAAGAAGGATTATTCAGACTACAACACCATTAAATAGGAATCCAAATATACAGGGGAAAAAAATCACGACAGTTCAGAAGTTAGATATCCTTCTTTTTCTGCACTTTTAGAATATCCTCATTTGTGCAGGTTAAGGAATTAAAAAGTCCTTTCTAGTCATAGAATCCAATGTGTAAGTATCTAATAGAAAAGATAAAATAATACCAATACCTCCCAAGCTGTCAAGGTCTTCAAGAATCCTACCAAACCTATGAAATAAAGCAAACTGAATTAAATGAAAATCATCTTAATCTCTCTTTAAAAATAAATAACACACTTCAGGATGATAAAAATGATCTAAAATTGATTGTGGTGATGACTGTATTACTGTATGAATATACTAAAAACCATGGAATTGTATGCTTTAAATAAATTGTATAGTATGTGAATTATATCTCAAAGTTGTTATAAAACAGGATATAAAATAATAACAAATAAAATAATGCCATGTTACCTTACAGTGTTTTGAACAGTCAAATATTTCTCTCGTAATTCAGGCTCACTGCCCAAAGGCAAGAGAACTTCAACATAACTGTCCTTCATTCTCCTAGGTGGCAGTCCTTTCTGTGATGTAGCCAAAAAACTATGAAGTAACTTTCTTTCCTCCATTGCTTTCACATGGTCTCTGAAAAGATACAAGATTCATAAAACAAAAGCAGTGCCACCCCACAATTCCAGAGACACATAGGCCAATCAGACACCATCAAAGGAGTAAAAAGAAGGACTAGACCTACTTTACCTTCTCTACTCTCCCTTCCCACCCACCACTTGACATTGAACATTTCTGGTAACATTTCTTAAGCTTAAAAGCATACTTAAAAGTGCCAGGCATGGTGGCTCAAGTCTGTAATCCCAGCACTTTGGGAGGTTGAGGTGAGAGGACTGCCTGAGCCCACGGGTTCGAGAACAGCTTGGGCAACTTGGCAAGACCTCATCTCTACCATAAATCAAAAAATTAGCTGAGCATGGTAGCGCGCGCCTGTAGTTCCGGCTACTTGGAAGGCTGAGGCGGAAGGATCGCTGGAGCCCAGTGGGTCAATGCTGGGGTGGCCGTGAGTGTGCCACTGCACTCCGTCCGGTCTGGGCGACGGAGTGAGACTCCAACTCAAAAAAAAAATCTATAGAGATAAACACAATAGTATATCAGGCTAAAGAATAGCCACTCTACCACAATCCCATTTCTCACCTGACAGTTCTTGGATTCTCTGTGCCCCAGCTCTCTCTCTCTCTCTCTCTCTCTCTCTCTCTCTCTCTGCCTTCAATTTCAGGAAAGAGAGACAGAGGAGGAAAAATGGACTACATCCAAAGGAAGTATGGAAGGCAGAACAAAAGATAAAGATAATATGAAAGGGAGACAGAAAGGGAAGAAAAAGAAGAGAAGGTTAAGATGAAAAAGAAAAAAGAGACAAGGGGATAAGGAACTAAAATGTTGACAATAACATTAACTAAGATGTTTTTCTAAGCTTTACTTATGAAGTATTATTGCCAGAAACATTTAGCCTACAAAAGATATAGGAGATAGAGGAACAAGTCAAATGGCACCAAGTAAATCCAGAATGTGGAACATTCTCAAGACAAATGGCTTGGCCTCTTTAAGGTCAAGCTCATGGGGGGAAAGATAACTGTCAAATATTCTATATTAGGGGAGATTAAAGAGTCATAACCACCGGATGCAATATGCAATCCTTTATTGGATCTTGATGTTTGTAAAAAAGTTATGAAAGGCCAGATGCAGTATATCATGCCTGTAATCCCAGCGCTTTGGGAGGCTGAGGCAAGAGGATCGCTTGAGCCCAGAAGTTTGAGACCAGCCTAGGCAACATAACAAGACCTCATCTCTATAAAAATATATAGAGAGATAAATAAATAAATAAGCTATAAAAACATTTTGGTTCAAAAGGAGTAATCACTATTAAAAAACATTTGGGCCGGGCTTGGTAGCTCAGCCTGTAATCCTGTGCCTTTGGGAGGCTGAGGTGAGTGGATTGCCTGAGCCCGCGGGTTCGAGACTTGCCTGGGCAGCGAGACCTCATCTCTACAATAAATCAAAAAATCAGCCAGGCGTGGCAGCGCATGCCTGTAATTCCGGCTACTCGGAAGGCTGAGGTGGAAGGATCGCCGGAGCCCAGCAGGTCGAGGCTGCGGTGGCCGGGAGCGGCCACTGCACTCCAGTCTGGGTGACAGAGTGAGACTCCAACTCAAAAAAAAAACCATTTTGGAAACAGTTAAGAAAATGTAAATATGGATGAGTGATATACGATCAAGGAATTACTGTCAATTTTGTTATGTAAGAGAATGTCTTATTTGTTGGAGATACACAAAGGCTGATTTTGTTTTACACGAATATGTTTATTTTTTGGAGATGCATGCTAAAGTGTTATGATGTCTATAATTTATTTAGAAATGGTTCAGCCAATATATGCATATTGGCAAATTTTACAAAGCGTTAATAAGTATCGAATCAAGATGGTGGGTACATAGATATTCATTCTTTCTACATTTTAGTAAATTGAAAATTTTCATAAAAGAGTTTAAAAATAAGTCATTCGATAATTTCTATACTAACAGTAGATTATTGTATGTCTAGTAATCACTCAGGTTTCTTCTTTTTATCTCATTTTAGCCTCAAAATTCTGTGTAACAAGAGGGATATGATCTTATTTTATAATAGGGAAACACTGAGAGAAAGAGAAAGATAATATGGGAGACCTGGCTAATTTTGAACTGACAAGACACAATAAAGGAGTCAAGTTGCATGAAACAGATAAACCAGGAGACTTGGGTTCAAGCCCCAAACTCTGATACTTAATCATTCAATCTTTCTGAGTTCAATTTTATCAAGTGTAAAAAAGGAATAGGAACATATTCCATATGCATGTCACAAGTTTTTAGAATAAGTGTGATAATATATCTGAATGCACTTTGAAAAATGCAGAATACATGTAAATCACATTATTTCATGGCTATGCATCAACAGATGAATATGTTAAAATGTTGATCTTTTCCCCTAAGTAAAAACCTCAACCCATCTCCAAACACAGGGTTCCCCATCTTTACAGTGGGATCATCAACTGAGCATACATAACAGCCTAGCATAACTTGGGGATGAAAGAATGAATGAACACAAGAGTGCATACCTCCAGTTTGTGGATGCTCCTACTATCTCCCGCAACTTATCTCGAACTGAAACAAAAACAAAGGACTCACTCCAAGAAACCAAGAAATATGAGAAATGGATTATAGCAATGAGCTCAAGAACTACGAAAAGCAATTCATGCACTAAAAAACTTTAAAGATCCAGGAATTTCCATTTAATGCCACAGCAAACAGCTGAGGGAAAGGATCAGGTCTCTGCTCCCTGGAAACCTGAAACAACTATACTGTCTCCTTAGTGCACAAAAGAATACCTTTGTGCCAATCACTGAGGTTTTACATAAACAAAAAAGGATATGTTGCCGGGCTCGGTGGCTCAGCCTGTAATCCCGCGCCTTTGGGAGGCTGAGGTGAGTGGATTGCCTGAGCCTGTGGGTTCAAGACCCACGCCTGGGCAGCGAGACCTTATCTCTACAGTAAATTAAAAAAAAAAAAAATCAGCCGGGCGTGGTAGCGCATGCCTGTAATTCTGGCTACTCGGAGGGCTGAGGCGGAAGGATCGCCGGAGCCCAGCAGGTCAAGGCTGCGGTGGCCAGGAGCGGCCACTGCACTCCAGTCTGGGCGACAGAGTGAGACCCCAACTCAAAAAAAAAGGATATGTTAATTATTCATGCAAGGAGACTATATCAGTGTCAGTAGACGAGTACCATTATGATGAAGATATTATGAACAGAATCCTCACCTATCTTCTGGTAGGCAGTAATAGATCCAATTACTTAGTTCAGGGACTAATTCTAATATCCAAATCTGAGTCTCATTATAATTAATTTCTCATATACTTATCCTCTTCTACTTGTTAGAAAAGTTTAAGTCAGAAAAATGAAGCAAAAAAGACTTAAATCAAGGCACGACAAAGAACACAATCTAATTTCAGTTAATGCCCACTGCCCAAAAGTGCAAGCATAAATTAGTGCTAACATAATTAAGCGCTTAAAAGTTGATACTAATTACAACACACCGTGATTCACGTGTATAGGTGAACATGCTATATGGATAAAGGGAAAATCAATTAGAAAATCAGCAGTAATGCAAAACTAAAAAATAAATCTGTAGTATTTCAAATAATGTGTTGAGTTTATGTGGGGTTTTTTTCTAGCATTTAAAAAAATATATATATATATATTCCAGTTATAGGAAATTAACTTTAGTTATCCTTGGTCCTTCAATAACTAACTGATCAAAACCACATATGGTTATATAAACAAGAATTTTAACCTTCATGAAAAAGTAGCTGATTTTTTCTATTCAACAATTATGTATACACTATAAATTTGATGTATACTCTAATTACAAATAAATCATAGAGAATTATAAAAAATAACCATTACTAATTCCATTTTACTTCTGATGTTTTCCTCCTGAGTTCCTTGAATAAAAGAAATAACAGAAAGCACCCCAAACAACACACAGACTACTGATGCTCACTGTCATAAAATGATTATTACTATTTTAGTCATAAGAGAGGCAGAGCCCAGGAGGAAAGTAGAATTTTTAAGTTTATTTACATATATACACAGATACATACACATATATTTATTTAAATCCTTTAAAGGAGCCATAATTTTAATAATAATGAATACTTCTAAATTGATACTTGCATATCACATTAGTAACTGAAATTAACTTTAATTAAGCATAGATTAACTGGGTTCTTCTAACAAAACTATGGACTGGGAGTGTTTACTTGGTACAACAAACAGGCCCATCTCTTATTCACACATTAGGTCTCTTTTTTCTTGGTTTTTCCATGCCTTCAAAACCTACACACAGGAAATGGAAATCACTTAACTGAAAGAGCTCAGTCTCCAAGGCTCCCAGGAACAATAGTTCAAAAGTCTGAATGGGATTACTACCTAAAGCTACTATGCAGCTATCCCGGTTATTTGATAAATGAGATGTTAATCAAATATCCACCTTTAATAATAGACTTCATTTGCCCAAACTATCATTTTATACACCTCTCAAATAAAAATAAAACAGGGTTTTTCACCACATGGGCATAAAAGGTAAACACCATGCTTACTTTCATGAATGTGGAAGATTCCCTGTTTCCTAGAGTCCTGTGATCCTTGAGTCAGTCCTCTGCCGGGGGTAAACAGCCCCTTGCCCAAGGCACAAAGCCTATAAAACAAGATAAAACACAGAGTAAATTCCACGGCTTCTTCCCTGGCAACCCCCAAGACCTATGTAACCTCCCAGAGTATTTGGCCATACTACACGCTTATATTGTTTTGTAGGAGTCTGTAGTTGTTTCACAAATATATGTATATTTGCAGATGAAGCTACTCCATAAATCATCTCTCCAACTAAAACATTTCTTGAGACCAGAGATCAATTAGGTAGGTAACTACAAAAAAAATAAGACATCAACCAGATTTAAAGGATTTATTCTTACTCTATTTTATTAGCTTCAGAAGCTCAGGATCAACTGTTAAACTGACCTAATTAATTAAGAACATTTATTTTGTTCTTTTTTTTTTTCTTTTTGAGTCAGGGTCTCACCTGATGCCCAGGCTGGAGTCCAATGGCATGATCACAGCTCATGGCAGCCTCGACCTCGCCTCAGCATCCCAAGTAGCTGGGACTACAGACACGCACCACCATATCAGCTACTTTTTTTGTTCTTTTGTAGAGATGACATCTTGCTATGTTGCCCAGGCTGGTCCCAAACTCCTGGACTCAAGCAATCCTCCCGCCTCAGCTTCCCAAAGTGTTGGGATTACAAACATGAGCCACTGTGCCTAGCCTTGTTCTTTATTATCACACCATATTTCCTCAATAAATAAGATAAACCCAATTATAAATTAATCAAAATTTGAACACTGAATTAGCCCTTTCCAGACTCAAAGAAAGCACTTATTGGACTTAGGCAGAAATGTTGTAGATCCCCAATGGAATAAAAGTTACTTGTCCAAATGTGCCTAACCTATTCTCCCAAAATAAGTTGTTTATTTTGGTTCACTAATTGCTTAAGTGTTGACCCCTAACCACACAATATCATGTCAGGGATAATACACATATAATATCAGGGATTAACAAACTAATATGTGAGAGCTCATTGAAAAAGGCAAGGCATTGAACAGGTCAAGAATCCCAGGTATTGTTACTCATTCTAGCTCAAGTTACCAGTAAATTCTCATTACTTAATGTGTGAATAAGTGATGGCTAACCAAAAAAGTATATTTTTAGTTTTCTTTAGAGACCAAGATACTATAGACTTCTCTTCTGAATGACAGCATTCAGAGAAAGTCTCTCAGTATATTCTGTAAAATCTATATGTAGTTTTGACACTCGTGTGCTGCTAGAACAAATCCTTGTCCTTTCACCAAGTCAACTAATCTAACTGCAAAGAACACATACATATAAACACATGCTCACTGGCTAATTTAACTCCTTAGTCATCCAGTTATCTCACTGGCTGCAATACAATCCCTGCTGGCTCACTAAGACCAAAATGCTTGCTGGAGGGTTTGGGGTTTTAGATCTCTGTTTATTCTTCAATCACGTAACTAACAAGCCTCTGCCTTATATTTTGGCTTTATTGTTTTCACAACAAATTTTCCATTTCTGTACTTCTGTACGTAGGTTAATATTTCAATCTTCTTGTTCTTGATCTAATTTGCATGCTCTCAGAACATGATTTGAATTTTCCATGATTTTCACTATTTAATTTGACGTACGAAGGGGGACCCCAAAAAATCTGGAAATAGCTTTTAGAGGGCAGATCCTTTGTAGTACACTCGGAATTTGTTCCTCAGGATCGACGGTCAACCAAAGTTTTTATCTGTAAGTTTTGATAAGGTTGCATCATGATTTGCAAAAGAAACATCCTAAGTTGTGACAAACAGGTGACTGGTTCTTCCACCATGGCAACACACCTACCCACACTGCGCTGAGTGTTCAGCAGTGTTTGACTAAAACCAGCATGACTTCTGTATCCCACCCTCCCCTACTCACAGAATCATGCCCTGAGTGACTTTTTTTGTTTCCCCAATGAAAAAAGTCCTCAAAGGGAAACATTTTGCCAATGTGGAAGAGGTGAAACAAAAAATGGCAGAAGCACTAAAAGACATCAAAATCGACAAGTTCAAAAACTGTTTTGAATGGAAAAAGTGTCTCAATAGGTGTCCTGCATCAAATAGAGAGTACTTTGAAGGTGGTTGCAGTTTAAACATGTAAGAATAAATACATGATTTTTTATAAATAAATTCTGGGTCGGAGGCTCAGCATGTAATCCCAGCACTTTGGGAGGCCAAGGCGAGTGGATTGCCTGAGCTCACAGGTTTGAGACCAGTCCGGGCAACTTACAAGACCTTGTCTCTACAATAAATTTTTTTAAAAAATTAGCCAGGTGTGGTAGCGCACACCTGTAGTTCTGGCTACCTGGAAGGCTGAGGAGGTGGAAGGATCGCCAGAGTCCAGCAGGTTGATGCTGGGGTGGCTGTGAGTGTGCCACTGCACTCCAGCCTGGGCGACAGAGTGAAACTCCACCTCAAAAACAAACAAATAAACAAATAAATAAATAAATTCTGGGTTTTTTTGGGTCCCCCTTGTATTTTCTGTAGGTTTAAATCCCTTACTGAAGGAAACAGAGTATGTATTCCTTCATTCTGGCACCTCAGGAACAAGCATTCTGCAACTGAATAGATCTAGTTTTAAGAAACACATTGGAAAAAGCTAACCTCTTCCATTGCTACCATTAGCTGAAAGAGTAAAAACAAAAACTCAATAAATTAATTGCAATTATAATAGATGCATTAAATTTATCTAATATAAGAAACAGGACCTGATTCTGAATGGCTAAATACTTTGAATACTCATCACAAAATAAGAGGAGCTATATAACCAATCTCACACATTTTAGTAAATACACATATACACAGGACTTTTTGTTTAGTCACCCTAAGCAGTAGCATTTTCTGAAGAGTGATGAAAACCATCCCATCCTGCTTGTGTGAAAGGCAGAATAGTATAGAGGTTAAGAGCCCAACCACGCAATTTGTTAGCTGAATGACCATGGGTGAGTTATCTAACCTCTCTGAGCCTCAGTTCCCTTATCTGTAAAATGGGGATTAATAATAGTACGTATCCCATATGAAATATATTAAATCCTTAGGAGTATCCCTAGTACATGGACAAATCCTCAAAAACTGTAGCTAAATTATTCCAGAAAGTCATGCTTCTCCAAAGTCTCCCCTTTTTAAAGATAAAAAAGAAACAAATTTATTTATTTATGTATTTATTTTGAGTTGGGGTCTCACTCTGTCACCCAGGCTGGAGTGCCGTGGCACAATCACAGCTCACCACAGTCTCAGCCTCCTGGGCTCAGGCGATCCTTCTGCCTCAGCCTCCCAAGTAGCTGGTACTACAGGTGCTGCCATCACACCCAGCTAATTTTTTTTTTTTTTGTAAAGACCAGGTCTCACTATGCTGCCTAGGCTGGTCTCGAACTCCTGGGCTCAAGCAATCCTTCTGCCTTAGCCTCCCAAAGGGCTAGAATTGCAGGTGTGACCTACTGCACCTGGCCAAGAAACAGGTATTTAGAAAGCATAAGCCAGGCACTATGATGGATCATCTCTGAAAACAGAATCCAATGAACACAGTAAAGAAGGGAGTAGATGAACACAGAGAAAGACTTGGGCCAATTTATTTGGAAAATTGTGGTCCTAGAGACCTATTCTTTACATGCTGTCTTAAGAAATTTGGAAATATATTTCTGGTGGCATAACAAAGGCATACCTTGAACACTTTTTTAAAAACTGTTGCTTATACCAATATAATAAATATCTATCATACCGTGAAATAGCATTCAGGTAATGGGAACTTTTCATTACAGTTCGGTATCCCATCTATTGATAATCTGATGAAAACTGTGGAGCCTCAAGTGGGGATAGGAGATACATTTTTGATCACACACAAAATGGTATATATTATTTCAAGAGGTTCATAGACCACCCCCTTTTGATACCCCTTTAGGCTCCTATATTTTAAAATTCTGATTCAGGTCAGGCACAGTGGCATATGCCTGTAGTCCCAGTTATACTCAAAAGGCTGAGGCAGGAGGGTCCCTTGACCCCAGGAGTTCAAGGCCACAGTGAGCTATGATCACATCACTGTACTCCAACCTGGGCAACACAGTGAGACCTCATCTCTAAAAAAACATAAAAATCAAAAATAAATTTTATTTTATTTTATTTTATTTGAATTGGAGTCTCACTCTGTCGCCCAGACTGGAGTGCAGTGGCCGCTCCTGGCCACCGCAGCCTCAACCTGCTGGGGTCCAGCGATCCTTCTGCCTCAGCCTTCCAGGTAGCTGGAACTACAGGCGTGTGCTACCACACCCAGCTAATTTTTTGATTTATTGTAGAGATGAGGTCTCACCAAGTTGCCCAGGCAGGTCTCGAACCCGCAGGCTCAGGCAATCTACTCACCTCAGCCTCCCAAGGCTCGGGATTACAGGCTGAGCCACCGAGCCCGGCTATAAATTTTAATTGAAACTAATCTCCTGAAGAAACTGAGGCACCAATTTCAGATGACTTTTCCCCAGTACCAGTCATCTAGCACATTGGCAGGGTCCAGACAGAACCTAGTTCTTCTGATCCCCTCAACACACATACACATACACACAAATTGCTCTTTTCACAATCTTAGGCTACTTCACTAATATAAATGCAGCACTGAGGTAGAGGAGGCGAGAGAATGGGTTTCTCAACATCCAATACTTGAATACCTCAGGGTTACTGACTTATTCCCTAATAAGCCCTCAGGAGTCTTACTTAGAAGCAAAACCCCCAGGCCTTTAGAAGAAACTGTCAAGAGGCCTTTAGGACACTTAGGTCCTAAAACCTTTCCAATGAAAGGAAATCAAGGAGTCCAACCTTTCCATAGCTTGCCTGGAGCCACAAAAGTCACCTGGAGATGTGAACAGAAATGTCTTGGCTCAGTCCTGGTCCCAAGCTTAGTGTAGGTGTCAAGGAAGAGTTTTTTCAGTGCAGTAACAGGTAATGCTACCCCATATGTCCTCCACTCTGATAAATACCTCAATTTAGATACTAAACAAAGTCAGGTGACTCTTGTAAGTCTGAAAAAGAAAAGAAGCTATAAAGGTTGCCCACCAGTCAAGGAGGCTAATCATCTCAGTCTATTCATTTATGAACCCCTCTCACTAGACACTATCAGAGTATCTGCTTAAGGTTCAATAGGACGCACAAGAAAGAAACACAGAGTTAAATGAGAGAAGGCACATGTACAAGACCATGGAGTTCATAGAAGGCCTTTCACATCATGTCAAATGCAAGCCAACGTCGACTGTGGCCCTTCTTGTAACCACTTTCAATCCATCTTCAAGTAATGGAACAAAGTCTTTTATTGTAAGTGCTATAAACAAGAGAGAGAACCCTATCAACTGACAGCAAGGACCCAAATAACAGTGAGAGACCCAGGACCCCTTAAGATAACCGATGGGATCAACGTTAGTCAGAAACACTATGAGTCACATGAGGGGGGCAGGCCCACTGGTAGCAGGATAACTTCAGAAACTGGAGCAGGTGTGAACTCCCTGGGACCTAGTCAGGCAGAAAACTTGGAAAGGTTCACATGCTCGGGTGAAAGGGGCTGGGGAAGAGCCAGACACGCCCTGAATTCTAAGACCTTCAGTTGGGAATATTACATATACAAAAAGGCATCCACCTTGCCCAAGCGGCCCAATCAAAGCACCCTGCTGTTATGAGGGCTTTGCTGCTCATCAAAGGTAAAGTTTAAATCAGCACCAGGGCCCTAGGCACACAGACTAAGGTTTGAGAGCCCAATGGTTCCCAGCAATTTCTGCCAACGTTACAACACACTTTTAAGTCAGGGCCCAAGTAGGTCAAGCACTTAACAACCCCGCCCCCCCCCAAATGCTCTCCAAAGGAGGACAAAGGGCTGGAGGTAACGTGGAACTGCAAATAGTATCTTTCTGACAAGAGGCTACCCGCAAACGGTTACCAACCACGCCCCTGATGAGCAACTAGGAAAGCATTTCGGGGAACACCCAACTTCCTCCCCTGAAAGTGATGCTTTGTTTTTAATATCAAACTCTGTGCCAGAAGTCGCCAAAGTGGAGGCAAGATCTCTCACCCAAGGCGGCAGGCCCGTGTCCGGGCGGAATCGCAGTAGGCGAGTACCCTTCCTCACCATGCCCAAATGCCTACGCATTAGTTCCGCCCGCCCTGGCCCGCTTCTTCCGCCGGGGCCGCCCACAGCACTGAGGGAGGGCGTAGGCGCCCCCGGTCGGCCCCCAGCCAGTCCCCGGCCTCCACGCCTCAATACCTACCGCAATGCTGCTCGCCTCATTGCGCTAGGCCACCGTCACGCGGCTGGAGAACCGAGGCTCGCACGCCAGTCAGTGGAGAGAAACTGAGGCGATACACGAGCACGAGCACAGGACCGAACCTTACGCCCCACGACCGCGCCCTCACCGCGAAGCCGCGGGGAACGGGACCACGCCACTTGGGGGCGGGATCTCGCGGGCCGGGGGCGGGGCCTCGCTGGCCAGGGGCGGGGCAGCGTTGCGCCTGGTAGACTCTGCCCGTCCATTGGCCGAAAGCTGAGTCCGCCTCTGCGGAGTTTCTCACTCAATCAGCTGAGCCCTGCGTGTTACTAAAGGGCAGACCGGCTTGTCGCCGCTTGAGTAAGTGAACCACGCAGCACTGCCAGAGCGTGATGTGGAGAAGAGGCGTGGTCCCGCCCTGTGTAGTTTATCTCCGTTATCCTTGAGCCTCACGCCTCGAGTCCTAGTCTATGGTTCTTGTCCTGGGCTGACGTTGAAATCTCCTGGGCAGCTTTCCAAGATACCCTTCTAGAGATTCTGATTTAGTCATGGGAACGCCCTGGGCTTCGGGATGTCGAAAGGTGCCCCAAGTGATTCTAATATGTAACCAAAGTTGAAAACCACTGACCTAAGGGGAAAAAATTGCTCCTCTTCTAGTCTCGGCCTGCCCTCTAGTGTTGGACATCTTGACCGACCTAGAGAGATTCAAGGTCAGCAGAGATTATTTCACTCTGCGACCTGATTTTCCATTTCGTTTAATGAATTCCTATTAGCTGTTTGCATTGCGCCAGGCACTATTGTAGACGGTGGCGATAAATAAATAAATAAATAAATAACCCTACCCTGAGGGGGGTTTCCAGGGAAGGAAAACAAACCAGCAAACAAGCTTGCAAATAACACAATTTCAAACGTAAAGCAGTTTAAAGAGGAAATTTTAAAAGGTAATAGGATATTTTGAGAATATGTGCAAGTCTCGCTTTGCCTGTAAAGATGGCAATTTCCTAGAAGGCAGGGGCCATACCATGCCTTCTTGGAACACCCCATGCTTAGTAAAAATGTTTGGGTTTGAATTAAGCTAGCTTTTTGTTTTTAATCGCTCCGTGAGTTAAAGATGGAGCATGGTCTTTGGCTTTCTCTTTCTACCTAACTTTCTCTGTTTTTAATCAGTACCACATTTGTTTTGTTTTGTTTTGTTTTGTTTTTGTTTGAGTCAGAGTCTCACTCTGTCCACAGGCTGGAGAGCACCACAACCTCGACCTGCTGGGGTCAGGCAATCCTTCCCCCTCAGCCTTCCAAGTAGCTGAAACCACAGGCGCTCGCCACTACGCCTGGCTAATTATTTATTTATGGCTCAGTCCCACATCTGGAAGATTCCCCTTTTAGCCTACAGGGAACTCTCCTTCATTTTTTTCATATTTTCTGTACCTTCAGTGATTGTTTTTATGTGTTTTGTGTTGGCCACATCTAATACATCTAACACACAGTACAATAAATATTGTATTAAATTATACTATTTTTGCTCTTATTTTTATTTGAACTTTTGGTTGAAGCAATAGGAGGTTTGGGGAGAAAAATTAAGTTTAAGGAAAAATTTCAGGTTATGTATATGGTATAATAGGCAAGGATAGTTTATAATGTTTGTATAATCATCTTCCATCAATTTCCAAAATATATAGCCAAACACATTCTCATCAATATCAATAGCATTTATTTGAGCTGGAACAACCAAAATCAGGGACTCCCATTGCTTATCTTTACTTATCTCTGCTTACCTTTGCATACTGGCTTCATTCTTTCTTCTCTCTGTACAATGGCATTCTTTACCAAACAATGCTCCTGAGCTTTACATCTTAAAATCACAGCCACACACACAGAGACTGACCCAAATTTCTACGTCCCAAGTGCAAAAAATTCCCGAGAAGAGATTAATTGGCCCAATTGGGGTCAAGAATATACTGCTGGACTAGTCAACTGTGGTAGCAGGGCAAGGTCATATGATTGGTCCAGTTGACTTACCAGGAACCCCTTTACCCAGACCCATGGCCAGGTTCAGGGTCACAATCTATTAACGTGGCTATTTCTATAAGCAAGTACACAGATGGGGACATGGAGCACTTTCTTCATAAAGGAGTACCACACAGATGTCCACAACCTCACAGATATCTACTACAGATGTCCACTACAGAAGTTATTTAAAGAGGGAAAAAATGATCTCATCACTTTGCCCACCTATCTTAGTTCTAATCTCAGGGAACCCCTGCTAGGTTAAGCCAGTACAGCATTCATCTGCTTGTCTCTAATTATCTCAACTGGCAGCATGTATAAAATTCTTAAAATAGCTTAGCAACTCATTTCTGTGTGTGTTGTTGTTGTCAAGTATTTTGAATAACAAATGTGAAAGCTGAAATGGTCACATAATCAGATCAGGAAACATGCAACAATTACTCATATAGTGGTGAGAATCACAATCCTTAAGTAACAGATTCTCCACCCTACCTTTTTGTTTCCTGTTATGTTCCATCAGTTCTATTTTGATATGGTCTTGGGATAACAGAGATAGTATCAAATGTGTAATTTAAACAAAAGGTGCCTAATCATGCATTAACAGATACATAAGATATCATTACTGTCATTATTACAAATAGAATAATGAAATCAAATAACAAAACCTAACAGTACACTGTCAGTTGAATCTAGTGTTATGAGTGAAAAATACCTAGTAACCATCTTTTCTTGGGCTGCTGAACCATATATACTTCTGAATATCTGATTTAGGCAGAAAATGTTCTTGGAAAACTATCATCAACTTTCAAACAAACTGAAGCTATGATTTCATTAGGATAGAAAAACCACTTTTTAAAAATTAGTTTATCCTGGATTATGGAGACTATACAAAAGGATACAGAATAAAGTTGGGAGGGGAGAGGGAAACAATGGAAACATGTTTTCCAACCAAACACTAAAGAAAAAAATGGTAAGACTAGTGAACTGATACAAGAAAGTGTCTATTATACCCACTTGCTTCAACAGAAGCAAAACCAGCCTGGGCAATTTAGAAATGCACCTTCTCTACCTTTTCCCAACTCCACTTTTATGACTGTTCATCAAATCCAACTGTTGAAAGGTTCTTGCCTTTAGAAATGCTCTCTTTTTCCTCCAACAATTTCCTCTTGCTTAAAAATGACATTTAAAACATGTAGTACTATTAGTGACATGGGATCAGATAGCTTCTGTAGGATAGAACCTCTTCATTTCAGGATGTCAATGTCAATAAAGCTCTTTCATTAATATAGGACTTAAACAACAAAATTTCAATGGGTATCTCCCCTACTCACACCTAGTCTTCCAATCATTTTACACCTTATCATGTCCACCCTCCTTCTCACTTAATCCATTTCAACAAATTCATATCTTCCATTCATTCCTCACTGTGCATCTGTGGAGACAGAAGTGACTCCATCTTGGATCTAATCCACCACATTGACTTCTGATTAGCCCATCCTGTGAATGCCTCCTGATTCCTACTTTATTTACTGCCCCTAGAGTAAGAACATGCCAACCTTGATGTTACTGCACAAATTACAGGCTATCACGCAAATAGTATTCTTGCCTGTCTTGGAGGGTTGTCTTGAATTGTCTTGTACAGAGCACTTGCATGCTTGCCCTATGGTGTACAAGTCCTGGGTCTAGGGAGTAACAGTGCAGAGATTATCTTACAGCCGCCCAAGACCACTTCTGTCTGTAAGTTCCCCCAATCAAACACCCTTTACTGATAAACTGGATTTGTTGGCCTCATTCTTTGGTTTCTCAGCTCTGTGAAACAGCTCTTTCACAGAACAGCATCCTATTTATCTCCAATCTCTTTCTCACACACTTTCCATTTCTTTCACACCAACTTAACTGTTACCATCACAGCTGAGAAACAGAACTTCCCCTCAGACCCCAAGGCAGCCCATTCAGCTGGGCTAGTGTAAAAGTCAACCCTGCCATTCCTTAGCCTGAGGAAAGCCATCAAGTGCCTGCTCATACAATTATAGTTTCACCAGGATTCATAACCATGAGAAGAATGAAGCTATAAACATACCTATCTCCGCAAAATCTCAGAGTGCACTCAAACTTTTGAAACTTACCTTACAGTGAGGATTTGTATACTTTATTGATGTTGTTAGAGGAAAGAGAGCATTTCTAAAGGCAAGAACCTTTCAACAGTTGGATTAAAATCATGCTGGCTGTGTGAACTTACATAACATACTTTCAGGTTTAAATGTGTATTTTGTGCTTTTTGGAAATGGGGCCACACCAAAACAGAGTGGAAATGTTGATGTTTGTGTATCTGGTTAATCTGTATGTATGATATTTATGGGACTGTTAGACTGCCTTGTTCTGTTTATATGGGCAACTTATTAGCACACTGCACAGGACACCTCATACGGCTTCTGTCTGGCCTGACCTGTAAGAGATGCAGAAACCACACCTGGAGGGATGAAAGACCCTTACTTTATTCATGAAAAGTCTCTTTAAAGTGGCCACTTCTTGCTTGACTCCAGTTCCTACTATTCCTGACTCTGTGTATTGTTCAAGTCCTTCATCTCCCTCACCGTGGCCCTGACAGTTCTTGTAAAATGTTCCTGAGGAGATAGATACAGATAAGATACAGAGATGAAACTGGAGATGGACATAGAGATACAGTAGAGGTAGAGATGTACTAAGAGCATTCTGTTCTAATGTACTGGAATAAATGTCAATAAATGTCTGGCCAAGCCTGCCAGAGCTTGAGTTTGTTATTAAAGAATACATGAGGGTTCGGTGGCTCCGCCTGTAATTCCAGCACTTTGGGAGGCTGAAGCAAGTGAATTGCCTGAGCGCATGTTTGAGACTAGCCCAGGTACCTTTGTGAGACCTCATCTCTACAATAAAATCAAAAAATTAGCTGGGCGTGGTAGTGTGTACCTGTAGCTCCGGCTACTTAGAAGGCTGAGGCGGAAGGATCACTGGAGCCCAACAGGTCGATGCTAGGGTGGTTGTGAGTGTGCCACTGCACTCCAGCCTGGGCGACCAAGTGAGTCACAAAAAAAAAAAAAAAAAAAAAAAAGGAACACATGAAGTCTAGTGTTGGTAA